GGGAAGGACACGACAAAGGACAGGAAACAGGAGAGGAAAAAGTCAAAAATTAAAAGGCAATAGCCTTTTTTTTAACTTTCTGACACCAAAGAGGAATGAAAATTTCAATCTAATAAAACATTAACTGTTCTTAACAAAAATCAGTGCTTGACACTCAAAATTTCAAACTAAAACCAACCAGAGCACAGAGATTTCTTTGTACACCCTGGAGATTCGGTGATGACTGTAACAGAACAAGGGGATGACACAGGGACCCAGTTGCAGAAACTTCACATGCCTGGCTTTTTATTTTTTTATAAAAATTAAATGATGGAGAGGCCACGCACTCACCTCCAGGGTAAACTCTTGCCCTCTCTGACAAATACATCAAGCCCAGGCTGCCCACGAGCTCTCAGCTGATTTGGAGCATCATGCTACGAGCCATCACTGCATGGTGTGAGCATCCCCCGTGCAAAACCAGTCGCACCGGGGACGTCCCCATGTGCCCCAATGCTGGCACCGGCTCCGCGTCCCCAGCTGGTGCGAATCTGCTGGGCACGGAGGGATGCATCGGCTGATCTGCCCCAGGTGAGGGTCTGACCCATTACAGGTCGGAGCTGTCAGTACCAGGAAGATGTCAGGACACTAAAATGAATTTGCAGGCCAAGTAAACAGAATCGATGAAACCAGATGGAGCTGGGAAACCCTCAGCGCCAGGGAGGGAGGAATTTATTCTTGGCTCCCCTCAGCAATAGAGCAAAACAAGCTGTGAGTTACAGCCCCTTCTTCCCTGCTTTTCCCTCCAATGCCTTTGCACTTCTCTCTCTGGGTGGGTTTAAGACCCCAAACCTCCCGTTTTCTCACATCGCTCGCAAAGACCTACCTCTAGTATTATTTCTGGGATGGCACCAGCTGACCAGTTATACAAAAAACCCTTCCAAACGCCAGGTTTGTTGTTATATTCAAGGCCAGAGCCAGCAAACTTGGAGACTTCAGCTGCACCTTGCAGAAATAGGGTCTCAGTTATTGAGAGAGAGATGTGCAATCCTCGCCGGTACCTCACAGCCACAGGGTTATTCCTGGGATTGTCCTACAGGACCACCTACATCTAGCCATGCGACCAGCACGCACCCACCACTGCCAGATGTCCAAAGACCTCCAACTCAAAGTTAGTGTGGTTTTGTGCCCAGGCAGGTTGCAATTAATCTGCTTAAAACTTTAGTTGAAAGCACAAAGTGGAAGAAATGAAATGAACGTAAGAGCTCCTTGAAAAGGAGCCTCACCGCGACTGCCCCAACCTTCCCGCTGAATCAACCAGACAGTCACTTGCAGTTTCTTCTACAGTAGTGGGATGGGTCCTCTTCCAGTGGCTCTCTTTGTCTTTGCAAAACAGAATCTTTTGTGTTCTGGCATCAATACTTCATTTTCTTGCTGACACCTAACACCAAAGTCTAGCAGCAGAACAAGTATGAAGACAACAGCTATGTTCCTCGGTCTGGTTTCTGGCAGTGGCATGGCATGACACGGACTTGAAATCACCAATAATGTTCCCATACTTATTATGTTCATCTCCTGGAATTTCTTTTATGCAACTGTTTTCAGATGGCATATGAACAACCCAGCCAGGTCTTGGAAGCTCCAGCCTAGTGGTTTGTTTCCAGGTCCACTCAAGCACCAGTAGTTTTTAACTTGTATATTGGGATGCTCTTGAAATTCCACCCTGAATGTTCATTTACGCAGATGACATTTGCTCAGACACTCAGTGTCAAGCTTTTTCTGCCCTAGAGGACATCTAGAATTCAGATTTGGCAGCTATATTCAGCTACTGCTATAATTGGCATTTGAAGCTGAACATGTCAAAATCAATTTCATGCCTTTTCCACCTCCACAGCGCCTGTGAGACGTGGGAGCTGGGCGCCTCTCTGAATGGATGCCCAGTGAAACGTGATCCACACTCAGCCTACCTCGGCATTGCTCTCGGTAGCCTCTGGCTGTACCATGACCATCTGATAACACCGTCTGCAAGAGTCAAGACCTTCCAGGCTTAGACCTGGGGTTCTAAAGTTTAAACCCTGCAGACATCTGCTCTTCTGCTCGTTGGCAGCAGAGCATCATACTCATCTGGGACCTGGACCTGCCTGTTCCTCCCCTATTTAAGTCAATATGCAATTTTATGCAAACGTGTCAGGGGTGTGAGTCTACCTTTCCACCCCAGCTCCCCCTGTGAAATAAGAGCGCTCCCACATGCAACGTGCATTGACCCTTTCATCAGAATGAATGCACGATTTGCAGCCTAAGGAACTGTCGTCTTGCAGGACTCGGCAAGATGCAAGCGTGCGGTGGCTGCACAAATGACATGGCTTGACCTGTCCACAGCGGCTAGAGAAAAATGGCACAAAAAGAAGAGAGAACAGAAGAAGGAAATTCTGAATAAATGCTGAGAGACGATGTTCAAGAAACATGCATTTACATATTTTCAGAAGAGCCGTCCCAAAGATGGACTTTCCTCTTTCGTGGGGATTTTTTTGAAATTCAGAATGGGGTAAATTCCTTTTTCAGAAGGAGAAGCCAAATCTTTATGACGTCACAGAGGCAAGAGAAGATATGGATGGAAAAAATATTCTGAAGTGGTTAAAACGTTTAGAAAAGTAGGAATAAGAGCCTACACTTCCAATCTAGAAGTTGAATTGATACTCAGAGGATTTACAGGCTCCTGCTTTCCCTTGAGGTGTCCCATGGGAAGACTGAAGCCTTGAAACCCCAAGCAATCACAGCACTTTGGAGCTTTGGAGATGATGTTCCCAAAACTTCCAGTGCTGTGTCAAGGATTAAACAATCCTGGCTACCACTAGCCATCCCAAGGCTTCAGGGTCTGGTTCCACCACGTGGCACCTGGGTTTTCCCTGGGTTTGCAGCCTCCCAGCTCCCCGGAGACGTGCACATCAGAACTAAACATCGCGGAGACCCTGTGCCCAGTGGCATCCTTGTTCTTTTGGGAGAATATTTGCAACCTGGGTTGGGGTGACCCATTCCTACAGTCCGTCCTGCAACGCTAAAGGGAGCTCCAGTCTGCGAGGAGGTGAGTGGAGCGAACAAAGGAGAGCACATTGAAGGCTGCTTTCCTCCCAGCAGTGCTCTCTCCGAGGGCCAACACCAGCAAGGCTGGGTGCAGGTGGCTTTTAGCAGCTCAGAATTTGCCATCTGACCGTTTTGATTTAAATTCCACTTTCCATCGCCTGCGTTTAAAGTTCGGTGCATGGGCTTTTACAGCAGCAGTAATGAACCTGGAGTTCAAACAGCACATGGTGAGATCAAAAATTGCCAGAGCGGAATGTGTCCCACAAATACAAAGCATGGCTTTTCATTCATTATTTTTTCCTTTACAGAGAGGTTTTACAAGCTGTTTATTTTCTGATACAGTGTTGGCAGACATGTGGTCAGAGGAGAATCAATATCAGCACAGTGGGATGTATTTTCTTAAATGGTTTATAGGGGGGTCTTTGCTTTTTCAAAGCGGGATAATTGAATGTAGTACACACTGTACTTTTGATTTGTTTAACATGAAGCGTGAAATGGGTACGGCTATGATTCTGTCAATCACTTTAACTATCCAGCGATTCATTTTGAAGCTAGGCCTCCTCGCGGGGATCGTCTGGCTCGAGGGATGGGGAATTCGCTCAGCATCTTCCCCGCCAAAGCACCAGTTCCAGCCCAGACTGTGCTGGGACCTTGCTGGCCCCACAAAACAAGCTGGGATGAGGGTCCCAGGTGAGCTTTGTGGATGCAGATGGTCCCACTGAAATGAGGCGTCTTTGGGCACCCCCTATTCAACAAACACCAAGGTGGAATTCCCAGCGGCAAGGCAGGGAGCAAGGCTAAAAATGAGGGGCTGGGTGGCTGAAGGGGTTTGAGCTTTGAGGGAGGTGTCACAGAACAGGACCGAGTCTCAAAAGCAGGGGTTGTCCCTGCTGTCCACACAGACCCACAGACCCAACAATACTCCTCTTAATCTCCAGGTGATGAGCAGGACATTTAAGGGACTAGATCTCCCTCTCCTAAAACGTACCTTGAGAGCCAGTCCAGTTTTCACCAGTGTTATTCCATGTATGCACCCCATGTATGCACATTCCAAAAACATTTAGATGTGGCACTTCAAGACATGGTTTAGTGGGCATGGTGGCGTTGGGTATACGGTTGGACTTGACGATCTTTGAGGTCTCTTCCAACCATCATGATTCTATGATTCAACGCCATCCCTGCTTCCTTCCCTCCCTGCAACTCCCAGTCCACCTTTGATAATCGCATCGCACTAACTTACCTAAGGAACACCAGAAGCAACAGCCAACTACAGATGTAGGAATGAGGGGGCCAAAATCCCATCCTCTTTTAATCTCCAGTCAAGCACACAGCTCTCTTATTAGACCAAGGGCATCTTCACCCTGAATCCCAAACCAAAGCTTTTTTTCCCATCTGTGCATCAATGCTACACCCCAACCACGTTCCCCTACACGTCCCTCCTGCATACCCCTTCACGTACTTGGAGGCAGCTCCTTCCTTTCACCTCTCTTTAGCCCTTCTGTGAAGTTTCTGTACAGCATGATGCCCATTATGCCATGCTGGAGAGCAGAGGTGGGTACCTAACCATCCCCATGGAAATGCCATCTCCATCTTTGGAGTAACCCTGTTGTTGAGTAGGCATCTTGGAAGTCCCGTGCAACATGGAGAGTACTTTGACACCACTGCACCAATATTCAGCTGCTTCTAGTCCAGGGGAGTCTTTCCTGGGGGGTCAATCTCTCCACAAAGCCACCTCTAATTCTGACCCCACAAATGTTGTATTCAAAATGTGGATTTTTTCAACCAGTTTCCCCACCTGTCCACAGTTTTGTGTTTCAAATAAAACAGCAGTAAGGCTGAGCCTTGCATAGCTCCATTTGTGCTGCGCATGTCTTAGATCACGCAGCACACCTCACCCCAGAGTTACTACGAGGAGGCATAAAGATCTGTCCAGGGACACTCACCTTTTTTGCGACGTAGCACATTTGCTCAGCAGGGAGATAGTGAAAGGGGAAGATGAATCTCCAGTTGAAGTTGCCCTCTCCTCCCATAGACCTGTAGTGCACATCTGTCTTCTGCTTGTTCTCCTCGTGACCAACCAGCCAGCTGCAAAACGCAAACACATTGCATGAAAAACTAGAAACACACCAAGGGTTTTGGAGTTCACTCAGTGTCACAGTGGCCACGGGCAGGCAATAAAATGCCTGTGGCTGCTATCTGTAGGGGTAACCTGGAGCCTGTAGAAGACTTGAGAGGGAATGCAACAGCCCCTGCAGCGTTGGGAGGTGAACCAGTGCTGGTGGTAGCAGCTTGAGAAGCTCTGCAATCTCTTCCCCTCCCTCTCCTGAGTTTTATGGATGTTTTAAAGACTCAACACCGCCTTAAGCTCTGGCTCAAAGTTGTCACTTACCCATCCATAAGCACACATCAGCTTCTAACCTGCCTTGGTGAGAGCTCCGTTCCCCTTTGCAGCCACCCCAACCAACTGACCTTGTAGTTATCGCCTAAAGCCAGTCCTGTTGATGAGTCAACCATGCTAAAGGACCAAAGGGCCATTTTTTCCCCTCTGTTCTCTGTTGATTTCTCAAAGATTATTATCTGAAAGTCCTAAATGGCCATGAAGTTCTTCCCCAGGAAAATCCCAGAGTGGCCAGGGTGGTCCCCAGCCGCTCCCGTTAGAGGCAGCTCCTCGCAGCACGGTTCCCCTCCTGGTCTAACAGAGCTTGCTCTGCTCACTCCGTAACCAGTCCAGGGGCAAACTGAAAACTTTCCATAACAACTGCTTTTTTCCAGCTGTGAGTCTTGCAGCTGTCGGGTTTTCATTCTGCC